GGCCCTCCACTGGTCAGGGAGGGAGGCCTGGGTCCTCCTGGTGCCAGAGAAGGGGCAGGTCCCATGGCCACAGGCTGCGATCAGCCTTGTCCCCAGCCCCGGGGGCTTTCCATTTAGGACTGACCTCTCCGCCCCAGCATGGTGTATCCCGAGTCCCACCCCAGCATTCCCGGGGGATCTAACTCAATTACTTCCTGCTGGGGTCCAACCTTGGCCCTTGGGGTCCAACCTCAGCATTACCCACAGGGTCGAGCCTCAGACCCTCTGCAGCTGGACAGCTCCCCACAATGTCCTTCACACCCTTTCCTCTCCTTCGAGCTCCATCTCCTCGCTTCCCCACTGGTTCTAGTCTCAGGCTCTCCACGGGGGTCTCACCGTCCTCCCTGCAGGTCCAACCCCAGCCTAATATTCTGTGCACACCAACAAATACATTCTTTGCTGATCTGACACACAAACACAAAAAGGTGTAATTTTTATTTGTTCACACCAAACGGCCGTTGTTGTGTTGGCTGTTGTCATTTAAGAAATATACTTCTTAAATTGATTTCAGAGACAGAGAGGGAGAAAAACATCAATGCTGAGAGAGACCTCAACCATGGATCAGCTGCCTCCTGCACGCCCGCTCCTGGGGATCGAGCCACACTCAGGCATGTGCCCTGAGAATCCAACTGGCGACCTCTTAGTTCACAGGCTGGTGCTCAACCACTGAGCCACACTGGCCATGCGGCTGCTGTCATTTTTTTTACTTGACAATCTAAGGGGAAGAGGTCCGTGCCCCTGACTAAACAGTCAGGTATTGCATGCTTTAACACTTCTCGCGGCACCGGCTGGAAACCGCTGCCCTGTAGTCTGGTCTTTTCCACAGCGGTTTAACCCCAGCCTTTCGGCGAGGGCCCAGCCTCATTTCTTTCCTCCGAGGTCTACACTGCGGCCTCTTCTCAGTCCTGCCTCTGGTCTATCCCTGGATCCTCTCTCCCATGTCCACCTCCCTCCGTTCTTCTGGCTGAGTCCAGCCCAGCACCGGGCGCCAGGCTCTCAGGACTCACTTGCTGAACAAAAGAATAAAGACAACGGGAAGTCCAGCTCCTCGGGACATAAACGCAATCGGTGGCTGGCCAGGCCTCACCTGCAGCGAAAGGGGGGCTGGGTGAGATCACCCCATTTTCAATGGGAACACTGAGGCACAGAGGAGTGAGCTAGGTGAGGTCGCAGGGGGCCCTGGGGGCTGGCCAGGCATGCCCTCCTTCAGGACTCTTCCCCCCAGGAGGGGCTGGAGGTGAGCACCCCAATGGGGGCGGGGGGTGTGTTCAGGAGGCCGATGTCCCAGCAGGCCCTGGGCCCACCCTGTCCCCCAGCACTTGTGACTGACGTCTCCTCTGCTCCACTTGGTGCCGAAGCCGCGTCAGGACCAGCTCCGAGGCCTGAATGAGACTGTGCTGGGGGAGCGAGAGAGAGGGCGGGGCTGAGAGAGCTGAGGGGTGCAGGTCAGACCACCCCAAAGGCCCGGAGCCCAGCCATGGCGGGGGCCAGAGAGCAAACCAGTGTGCGGGTGGGACAGGTGTCTGTCAGGCGAAGGTTAGACCCAGGGGGCAGCCTTCAGTGAATTTCCAGTGGGAGGAACCAAGCCTGGGCCCAACTGTTGGTCTGAGGCTAGAAGTTGATGAAAGAGATGGAGTGGATCAAGATGTGAGAGAGACTGCATTCTATGGGAGGGAGGTCTGACCCTGGAGAGGCCGAGGTGAGGCCACAGGCAGAGACACAGGTGACATGCTGGAGAAAAGAAGAGGCCAACAGGACAGAGGAGGGCAGAGCAAAGCAGACGAGAGAGGAATGTCCCACATGGGGGGGAGGGTGGAGTTAGATGGCTGGGGAGTCTGAGGTGGGACCCTCATAGAAGGGACAGAGATCTCAGTGAAATGGCTCGAAACGGATCGCAGTGTGGGGTGACGGGAGGGTCAGAGCCCAGCGAAGGGCAGTCCTGCTGCTGCGGTCACACCACAGACACCTCCCCTGTGGCCTAACCTCAGAGCTTTCCAATGAGATGAACCTATGCCCTTTCCATTTTTAAAAAATTTATACACACACACACACACACACACATCTCCTATATAAAAAAACCCTAATATGCAAATTGACTGAACAGCAGAACGACCAGTTGCTATGACATGCACTGACCACCAGGGGGCAGACCCTCAAAGCAGGAGCTGCCTCCTGGTGGCCAGTGCACTCCCACAGGGGGAGCGCCACTCAGCCAGAAGCCAGGCTGACAGCTGGCAAGTACAGCAGCGGTGGCAGGAGCCTCTGCCGCTTCCCTGGCAGTCAGATATCCCCCGAGGGCTCCCAGACTGCGAGAGGGCACAGGCCAGGCTAAGGGACACACAGGTGGACATCCCCGAGGGGTCCCAGACTGCGAGAGGGCACAGGCCGGGCTGTGCACTGGGCCTCTAGTATTTTATAAAGAGAAAGAGAGAGATACATCGATTTGTTGTTCCACGTATTTTTGCACCGTTGGCTGATTCCTGTATGTGCCCTGACTGGGAGCAAACCCACAACCTTGAGGTATTGGGACAGCACTCTAACTAATGGAGCCACACTGCCAGGGCCCTATGCCCTTTCTATGAGGCTCTAACCTCAGACCGCTCTGGAGCCTAACCTCATTCCGTTTTACTCGGGTCTAAACTCATCCACTGGTTCAACTCAGACCCTTCCCCTGGGGTCTGCCCTGCATGGGTGCTCTGAGGTCTAACCTAGGCCAATCACCTGAGGGACAGACGGGAGGACAACCCCAAGCAAGACTAGAGAAGGCAGTAAGGTTAGACGCAGTAGAGAGAACCCAGGCTGGACAACACGGGAAAGGATCCTGGAATCGGACCAGGTGGAAGGAGAAGCAAATACCACGTTAGGAAACGCATACTCACCGGGGGCTGGGCCCTGGGGAAAAGGTCAGAGGTCAGACTATATTAGCAGGAAGTGAAACTGCAATGGAGGGTCCCGGGTTGGACCCTGGACCACTGGAACGGCTGGATATGAGACTGTGACAGGGGAAACGGCAGTCAAGCTGCTTGGGAGGGTCAGAGGTCAAAGTACAGCAGAAAGCTGGACAGTGGGCCACAGCTCACAGACTTGACCACAACAGAAAGTTGGGAGGTTGGACTAAGGAAGGGCTCGAGGTGGCCAGAACAGAAAGCTGGGGACTGGCTGCGGAAGAAGGGCTGGAGGCTGCACTGCGGGCAGGGAGGGAAGTTGGGCTCCGGGGCCGGAAGCTCAGCAGCTGCTGCTGGGAGACCACGGCCAGAGTGAGGCTGGTCCCGCACAACAGGGGCGGCTGCAGCGAGGAGGGCACAGTCATGGGGGCAAAGGGAAGGATGGAGGTCAGATCACAGGGGCAGGTCTGGGCCAGGCCACAGGGAAGAGACGAGGTGACAAAGCATGAGGAATGAAGGACAAAAGTCAGGGAGGCTGAGGGGCGCTGGGGGGACAGATGCTGTGTCAGAATCCCCTTCACCGGGGGGTGCTCCCCCAGCTGGGAGTGCTCCCTCCAGCTGTGAGCGCTCCCCCAGCTGTGAGCGCTCCCCCAGCTGTGAGCGCTTCCTCAGCTGTGAGCGCTCCCCTCAGCTGTGAGTGCTCCCCTCCAGCTGTGAGCGCTCCCCCAGCTGTGAGCGCTCCCCCTAGCTGTGAGTGCTCCCCTCCAGCTGTGAGTGCTCCCCCAGCTGTGAGCGCTTCCTCAGCTGTGAGCGCTCCCCTCAGCTGTGAGTGCTCCCCTCCAGCTGTGAGCGCTCCCCCAGCTGTGAGCGCTCCCCCTAGCTGTGAGTGCTCCCCTCCAGCTGTGAGTGCTCCCCCAGCTGTGAGCGCTTCCTCAGCTGTGAGCGCTCCCCTCAGCTGTGAGTGCTCCCCTCCAGCTGTGAGCGCTCCCCCAGCTGTGAGCGCTCCCCCTAGCTGTGAGTGCTCCCCTCCAGCTGTGAGTGCTCCCCCAGCTGTGAGCGCTTCCTCAGCTGTGAGCGCTCCCCTCAGCTGTGAGTGCTCCCCTCCAGCTGTGAGCGCTCCCCCAGCTGTGAGCGCTCCCCCTAGCTGTGAGTGCTCCCCTCCAGCTGTGAGTGCTCCCCCAGCTGTGAGCGCTTCCTCAGCTGTGAGCGCTCCCCTCAGCTGTGAGTGCTCCCCTCCAGCTGTGAGCGCTCCCCCAGCTGTGAGCGCTCCCCCTAGCTGTGAGTGCTCCCCTCCAGCTGTGAGTGCTCCCCCAGCTGTGAGCGCTTCCTCAGCTGTGAGCGCTCCCCTCAGCTGTGAGTGCTCCCCTCCAGCTGTGAGCGCTCCCCCAGCTGTGAGCGCTCCCCCTAGCTGTGAGTGCTCCCCTCCAGCTGTGAGTGCTCCCCCAGCTGTGAGCGCTTCCTCAGCTGTGAGCGCTCCCCTCAGCTGTGAGTGCTCCCCTCCAGCTGTGAGCGCTCCCCCAGCTGTGAGCGCTCCCCCTAGCTGTGAGTGCTCCCCTCCAGCTGTGAGTGCTCCCCCAGCTGTGAGCGCTTCCTCAGCTGTGAGCGCTCCCCTCAGCTGTGAGTGCTCCCCTCCAGCTGTGAGCGCTCCCCCAGCTGTGAGCGCTCCCCCTAGCTGTGAGTGCTCCCCTCCAGCTGTGAGTGCTCCCCCAGCTGTGAGCGCTTCCTCAGCTGTGAGCGCTCCCC